GGCTTCCAAGCCGATGACTGGCTCATGCTGGTTGCCCAGGTGGGTTTTCTTTTCGGCGGACCATGCTACGGCTTCACTGACTGGAGCTATCAGATCATATTTACCATCTCTTGCTCCTTTATCCTCCTCGGCGTTAATGATGGCCTCGGCCACCACAACCAAGCCCTGGATCAACGGAAGGAGGTCTCTGCCCTTATGGTATGTTGGCTCTACTCCTTGTGCTCGTTGGTGTCACTGATCAAGTCATGTAGTACCAAGCCTTGGCTACCGCCACATATGTCCTTGATATGCTGTTCATCAAGCTGAGCATCGGTTTTTTCTTGTTGCGACTCTCAAACTCAAAGCTATACAACTGGATCATCTATGTCAGTCTGGCGATTATCACGGTTTGGAGTGTGGCCATCTTCTTCTGGAATGTATTCCAATGCTCGCCTGTCGAAGCGCAATGGGATTATGCTATTCCCAACTCTAAGTGTGTATCGCCAGACGCTGTTGTAGCGGCGGCCTACTCCATCAGTGTCATGACGATTTTGAGTGATTGGCTCTACGTAAGTTACTTTTCTCTAACGAACCTACAATGCCTTTGAGTTGATGTTAACACCGTCTAGGCCTTGCTCCCTATACCTATGATATGGAGCGTCAAGATGACCAAGCAAGCCAAGGCGACTGTCATTGTCATTCTTGGTCTGGGAATTTTGTAAGTGAACCCATGATCAGATGGCCAGTAGGAAAGTGACTAACAAGACCCAGTGCCAGCATTGCAACCCTAATCAGACTCAAGTTCTTGGCCGACCTCAGCGATCTGACCGATATCTTATGTACGATCTTCCCCTTTTTGAACCCCCTTTCCGGGCTCGAAAGCCAAAAGTCAGCCTCGGACCGTACTAACACAGCTGCAGTCATGGGAACGGACGCCATGGTATGGACCTTGGTCGAGCCCGGAGTTGCCATCGTGGCCTCCAGTCTAGTAACCATCCGACCGCTCCTCCGAGCATGGCGACTCAACGGATTCACTTCAACCGACCGAACGCCGGGCATGAGCGGGCACATCAGCGGGCACATCAGCGGAGGAATGAGATCAGGGACGGCGCGGTCGGCGCCCCGTGCGGCGCCCCGCGACCCTTACGGCACCGATAGCATCGACGGCATCGACACGGATCTGGAGCTCGGCGGGATAGGAAAACACGAGCCCGTGCCGCGGCCGAATTCTCGGCTCGGATACCCGGGGCCGTTTTCGCAAAGCGGCTCAAAGACGGCGGGGACGCAACTCGGCTCGGAGTACATGGTGCCACCGTACCGGAGACAGGACAGCAATACTAAAAGCGAGATGTACGTAATCGAAGGAGACAAAGCGAGCGACACCTGGACGGGGGACAGGCTGGGCTCCCCGAGCGTGTCTTCGGTCGACCTCGACGGTCTCGATGCGCAGAGCCAGCATAGTGGGCGGGTCGGGCTTGGAGGAGGGAGAAGAGATAGATAATGGTGACTAGAGGGGAAAATTCCGACCATTATATCGATACGATTATGTCTACCTTTGTGTGGTTTCATGGCGTTCAAGGGTGCCTTAGGGGTACATCCGGGCGCATCGCATACTGAGCAAGAGAACGGTATGGAGCTGCTTTCATGCGGCTTGGAGATTAAGAAGAACGATACAGATATTGGAAAATCTGGCCATCTGATGCTTGGATGCATTTGGTCTTTGGACAATCAAGGCGGGCAGAAGCATAGATCATTGGTATATGCTGAATGTAAACTAGATTGCGCCGCTTGTTGCGCGCGCGCGTATGCAAAGAGTACGAAGCAGTCTTTGATAGAAGAAGAGAGCCCGAACGAGCTTCTGACACTCGTCACAACCCAATCTGAAGATGTTTAGAACGGATCCTGTTTGTACGCCGCCTCCGCTTCTGCGTACGCATCATACGAGTACAGAAAATGTTGGATATCAGGACACGTCCACCGCGAAGGGAATCCTGATCGCGGCTCCTCCCCAGGCGCCAGGGACGCCGTCATGATCTCGTCGCGGCGCTCCTGCTCGGGGCTGTCAGGCATGTGGAAGTCGTCGCGCTGCGCAAATGATTCCATGACTATGCGCTGGCCGCGCGCCATGCGAAGACGCTGGTACATGGCCGCCGCGGCAGCGAGCTGAGAGGTCGAAGTAGAAGTCGAACTCTCCTCAGCCTCAGTCCCCGTCGCGCGGCCGCGAACTTTACCGAGCAGGTGGCCCAGCACGGCGCCGTCTTCAAGCGAGGAATTCGCGCCCTGCGCGAGATAGGGCAGCATTGGGTGACAACAATCCCCCGCCATGAAGAACCTCCCATCCTTGCTCGCCCACTCGTCCAGCGGCTCGATCCAGCAGAGCTTCCACTTGTGCACGCTCTCGACCTGGTCGAGCAGCTTGCGGAGCAGGGGATCCCAGCTTGAAAACAGGCCGCGCATCTCCTCAACATCGCCGAGGACTTTTGTCGAGCCCTCGGGGAGGTTATCGGGCGAGAGGAGGCCGAGGTTGAGCATGCGGCCCTGCTTGACGGTATAGGAGACGCCGTGGCCCTGGGGCCCGATCCAGAAGTGTACGGTTTCGGATTTGATAAAGGCCTCGAGCTCGGCTTTGTGAGGGCCCTTGAGGGAGTCGATGGGGATTGCGATGCGGAAGGCGAGGTCGCCTGTCAGGGAGGGGGGTGAGGGCCGGTTGAGAAATTGGGCGCGGGTGGCTGACCACATTCCGTCTGCGCAGACGACTACATCGCCGGAGACTGTGGAGGTGGAGTCGGGAGATGAAGAATCGGATCCCTGGTCGAGAGTCACGGTCGCGCTGGCAAAGTCCACGGAGCGGACGCGCGAGGCCAGGCGGATGTCGACGCCGAGGGCGGTGCAGCGGTCGACGAGGGCGCGCTGGAGCTCGACGCGGTGGAGGCCCCAGAAGGGATGGCCGTAGCGGGACTGGATTGTTTCTTGAAGACGCGGCTCGTGGGCGAGGAGGCGGGTGCCGTCGTAGCGGTGGACGGAGAGGGTCGAGGGGACGGTCGCGAGGGGGGCGAGGGCCGGGAAGAGACCCCAGGCCTCGAGAAGGCGCGTCGCGTTTGGTGTGAGTTGAAGGCCGGCCTGCGATTTCGTCTCTTTGTGAGTTCAACGAAATTTGGAGCTGAGAAGCGCTGATGTGTGGAGGGTATGTATGTGTGAGAGGATGAGAGGACTTACACCGACTTCCTGGAGCTCCTTGACTGCCTCGAGGATCGTCACGCGGTGAGAAGGGTTCGCAAGTTTGGTTGAGAGAGCCGTCGTCAGGCCTGCAAGGCCCGCGCCGATGATTATCACATGTATACCATCATTGTTGGAGCTGTTCTGAGTGTGCCCCTCCATGCTGGATAGTGATACTGCGAGAGGTTGTGAGTTGCGCCGGTGGACGGTTGCTGATCCCACTGATTAAACCAGTAGGTCGCAACAATCTCTTTTCACCATGATCAGTTGACCAGACCTTCAAAGAAAGCTGGACGCATGGAAGTTGTCATTCCAAAAACCGTAACGAGATACTGCAGACATAAGTGCCGCCACCGCGTCTTGGGGGTTGGTGTTCACGGACGGTCTCACATGCGGAGTGTGGGGAAGACCGACGGGACGGTGCCGTCCCTCGAGTTCGTCCCATTTGAGAGCAGTCCGAACTGAGGCAATGCAATTAGCCTAGGGTATCTTTTTTTTTGTCTATCCTTTCAATACCTCCCAAACAAGACTTGGGGCCAAATCCACTAGTGGCTTATGTTGTTCGACCGTCCGATCTATCGACACTGGGCCGCTGGCGGGGTAAATCAGCGAACAATGAGGAATCCCATACTCTCCTCTGCTCCTGTAAATGTTGCTGTCCAGCCTCACGCCTCGGGAACAACAAGATCCTCCGGGTCAACCGTCCACTCTTCCTCGTCACCCCAAGTCGGCGCGAGAACAAATCGGCCCATGATCTTACCCATGCCAATACTGTCTCCACCGGGAACACCCTGCTTCGCCTTTTCGTCTGACTCCTCCACAATCACTGCTGTAGTCAAGAAGTTCATGCCCGCAGCCGGACTGAGTTCGAGCGTTCTTCCACCCCAGTCCAGCTCGACCTTTCCAGACTTGCGCACCTTCAGCTTTCCCATCATTCCAGCCTGGGAGACCAACTGATTAATGTCCGTGAGGTCAATATCGGCTTCCTCAACCTTGGGTTTAGAGCTCTCTTCCGCCTGTGTGAGGTCAACAGCTTCGCCGGGTTGGTCGAGCATGACGACGTCATCGGGCTCTGGCTTGATCTTGGGCGCAGTCGCAGGTTGCAGTGGCGGAAGCAAGGGCGGGAACTGAAAGAGGTACAGACGTCCGTCCTTGCTCGCAACCTCTGTCTCGGGTGCCTTGGAGTTCTCATCTGTGACGGTACCCAATTCACCTAGCAAAAGCTCCATGTCATGTGTAATCATTTCCACCTCGGGGTCGGCCATTGTCTTCTTCGTCTTAGGTTCAGGGGTGACCTTCTCTTCCTCGGCTTCGGGGGTCGCGGACTTGACGTGGGCGTTGAAGTCGACCGGCGCAATATCCATAGCACCTGGTTCGCCACCAGGTTCTGCCTTGACCTGGACGACAGCCTTGGGTGCTGCATGCCAGACTTTTGTCTCGTCTTCCATCGGGGGAATAGCGCCAAAACATCCTTCTCCTTCAACAAAGAGACTCTCTTCAGCCTTGCCCTGTTCTTCTGCCTCGAGTTCGGCCGAGGTTGCAATCGTCTTCTTCTCTTCCTTCTTGTCGATGCGGGCGATGCCCATGGGCCAGATATTACCAGGCTTCGCGCCAATGAGGGCAGCCGTCTCTTCGTCGTCAGAGTCGGGCTCGCGGTCGACAGGATATCCGGCGAGTCTATCGGCGTTGATTCGTGCTTCGCGATGGCCCGAGGCCTCTCCGAACGCGCCACCCTCTCTCTTTCGGCCCCCGCCGCCTCCGCCGCCAAAGAACCCCCCGCCGCCTCCTCCTCCTCCACCACCACCGCCCCATCCCCCGCCGGATCTGCCACCTCCTAGATTGTGTTAATAACAGAGAACCGAATGAGCGACTCCCTCCTTCAACGTACCTTCTGTCGTCATTTGCGAGAACGGGCCACTAGCAACCGCAGCTCGCGACATGAAACCACCCCGACCCATGGCATCACCACGAGCTCGCCGACTGCGACCCCGGGAGCGGGCCTGAGCGCGAGCTTCTGCCTTTGCCCTCGCATTGTCCTTCTCTAGCTCTTGCCTTGCAATTGCATCTCGCGCCGCCTCGTCTCTACGCACCACTCTGGGGCGAAATCTGCTGGCTGAAGTGCCCCGGGTCGCGGAAGGGTTGGGTGTTGCGGTTCTGGAAGGTACAGCGGTCGCCGAAGCTGTTCCTAGTGCTGAAGATGGTCTCGAAGTCGAAGTTGGTCCCTCGGCGCTGGGTGTGGCACTGCTAGCAGCTCCTCTTCCTCTACCTCTTGTCCCTCGGGGTCGACCCCTACCGGCGCCTCGAGCCGGGGGCGCTCCCTCTGGCATGGTGACTGACGACAATGAAATGTGAGCAACGGACTCAGGATAATCTCCTTTGTCGTTTTGTTAACCGAGAGTGGAGCGTTGCCGTATGTTCGAGTTGGGTATGCGGCAATGGCAGGGTAAAGAATATTGTCTGGTGGTGGTGTCTGGTGAGAGAGTCACAGATGCCGCCCAGAGAAAAAGATGTTCGATTACCTCAGCGTGGTGGGGGACAAAACATGCCCCTTGTAGCACCCAAGGCACCTTCCTTGTCGCGCTGAATTGCACACCTACCTTAGAGGTGGGGTTGATTCACCCCGCATTCAAGCACAGATTCGATGCGACGCAGCTAGGGTGCGCACTGCTCACTGGCCTTGAGCAGTAGGTACCCTGTACTCTGTATTTGAAAAACATTCAAGCCATAATTGAATCAAAAAAGCAACGAGGGGTCTCGTATGAGCCACAAAAGCCAGAAGAGCTGCTTTGCTTATTTTGCTAGTGCCGGTATTTCCTCATACTAATCGAGAAGAAGAAAGGCTTCATTTTACGCACATCAACGCTTGCTCCCCATAGACTCTTGCAACTGTGCCTTCTCGACTCAGCATGATGCCAATCCACAGCCGACCAGCCTCAACTGTAGTTGCTCCAAACTTCACAATAACACATCCCCTGACCTTCGCAGCTGACCACAAGATACCATCCTTCGTCTCCATCTCTATGCGCTTGAGTCTCCATAATTCATGCTCCGTCAAGTTGCTTTCTTCCTTCGCTTTCGCCTCCGCTGATCTGAAATCCCTCGCGCCGATACGAGGCAAAGCACCGAATTCTTCGAGGAAGAAATTGCCTAGTGATTGCATCTGGGGCCCTCTCAAGATCAGAGTTCCAAAGAGGCCGTTTCCATGCATAGAGTCTCGTAGCGACCTCCCTACTAGGCCTTGGCTGTCTCTGTCTAAGATGACTGTGTCTCGCACCAACAACCGGTTCTTCTGGCTTGGGTCTTCTTTTTCCAGCCAGATTTCGTTGCGGCCTGTCCATTTGACAAAGCTCCAATCCTCACCGCGCGCCGTTCTGCCTTGAGTCACCCAGTCCAGTAGACACAGAGATGCGTTAGGAGCAACTGTGAATATCTGGGTCTGCTCGTAAACGCTTCCATCAAAAGGCTGAACTGGATCTGGCAACTGGCAGATGCCGGAATCATCTTCTATGTGGACGCTGAGCGTTTGACGCGTGATGATGTCAGGAGACGCGGACTTGAAGATCTTCGTATGACCCTGTGTGACAATACTGAGTTTTGATCCCGGTAGAGTACGGATAGACAGATTGACGCTGTCGCCTCCGACGAGTCCACCGCCGTAGGAGAGTAGAAATACCAGAACGCTTTTCTGGTCGACTGCCGGTGTCGGAGAGATGAGTTTCAGGGGGTACTGGTATGACATGCCCTTGAGACCTGACAAGCCATTGGGCAGGAGCTGGGCTATGATCTCGCCCTCGCCGGCCGCGGAAGATGACTTGGGGAACGGAGACTCCATCGTAGCTTTTGCTGGCTTGGGAGTGGGTTGAGTTAAGACGTATCAGGGGTAAATTGGACGAGCCATGCTAAATAGTTGGCGTTGCTCTTCGTCTGCGGTAAGGATCAGAGAAAACTCTTGTAAAATACAAAATTTCCGAGGCAACATACCAAAACTTTGATCAAAAGTTGGCTTGATCATGAGCAGGCTGCGATATGACGTTTTTTGGTGATTTCTGACATTGCTGAAAATCAGCTCGAGTTTACGATGCTTGCTCGATGGGAGTTTCTGATTGATATCAAGAAACACAGTGTGGCCGCAATTTACTGGAAATGCACTGTGCTGCCGCCGGCGCCCCGCGAGCTGGTCCATGAAAGCTCGAGCAGTTGTCAGGATGCAGCACTCATTAACTGATAAGTCCTTGAAATGACGCTTCAGACAGTAAACTAAAGTGAAACCATCGACACGAAGTCCCTATGAAGACAACTTGATGCGGAGAGGGTGAAAATATAGAGTAAGAGCTGCCTCGATATCGAGCCGGACCTTTCACACCACGAAACATGTACCTAGAACGGCCTACTTTGTATTGGCACCTCGAGTAAAGTTGCACGCATTCTTTCGCTCTCCATTACCCAACTCGAGCGACCCCTGAACAAGTCAACTGTATGCTACCTAGCTACCACACTGTCTCTCTCAAGTGCGTACGTTGTAATAGAAATCCAGATAGGCCGGTTGTAACCTTGACATGTTGCGTCAAGGTGTGTTTGTTCTCTGACGGGTGAGCGCGCTCACGGTACGAGTTGAAGGTATCCCGCCATAGTAACTCATACCTGAGGTGACTTCCAATTCAGGTGCTGGGTGCGTGGTCTCGTCCTTCCTTCCGCGTCAGGCGGCCATTGCTCATTCGCCAATCAGCTGCACCATCCTTCGCACAGCACCAAGGCAGGGACCAGCGCTTCGATCCACCACACCCCAACCCGTCCGTGTCCCGTCTGCCACTCGCGAATTTGGAGAGCCCGACACCTAAACATCTTCGACGTAAACGCTCCTACTCAACGCGACAATTTTCCTCATATGCGCCACCCCTCCGGACATTCGCTCATCGGCGCGAAATAATCGTCGCCATTGCTGCGATTACCTGTAGGCATTCAGACGGTATCCAACATTGCCCCAACGTTTACGCGACATCATGGAGAGCGCGACAGCTTCCCCCGAACCCGAGTCGTCGCGTCGTCGATCTGGACGCGTCGTGCGAGCCCCCGAAAAGTTTAGCCCGGAGCCAGTCACCGCACCCAAGCGCAAAAGACACGATGAGGACGATGAAGGAAACGACGACGATGACATTCTATCCGATGCTACCATGAGCGATGCTGCCGATAGTGACGAAGAACGGCCCCGCGCCAGACCCAAGAAGCGATCAGGCGCATCGCAAGGGAGCCGCGCAAGGAAGCCCGCGATCAAAAAACCAAAGACCAACGGTGTAGCCCCGTCTGGTCATTCCGCAAGCCTTCCGTCACGGCCCAAGAAATCCGTCAGAATTGCCACCGCCGACAGGCAAGCCGAGGGTCTGTATGGTAAGTCGCTGCCCCGGAATTCGCCGATGCCATCATCTGACACGTCTATAGCCGATGTTTTCGGTTCGGGAATGCCTTCGGACGAGGTTGCGGATAAGTGGCAGACCAGATATCAAGCCAATGATGCCCTTGCTGTCGTGGAGCTCGTCAATCTTGTGCTCCAGTGTTCTGGTTGCGACCTCGAGATCACTGAAGACGACATTCGCGACCCTGATAATTGCCAGGCTCGACTGACGGAGCTTCAAGACCTGTTCCAAGAGGCATGTCCCCGTATAAATGCAAACGACAGCCTTGTTCCGCGGATCAACTAGCTAACTTGGTACAGGAGCAAGTGACTGAGTACCCCCTCATTTCCAGGGCCAAGAACACCAAGGCTTTCCGTGACCTCCTCACTGGATTTTTCCGGGGGGTTGTTCGCAGTGTCCACGAAACAGATGTCCTGTACAACGACGCTACTTTGATGGAGAACCTCGTCCGTTGGATAGCATCCATGTCGACCTCTTCACTTCGCCCGTTCCGTCACACCGCGACAACCGTCATCCTCTCCCTAGTTTACGGCCTTATTGATGTCGCAAACACGCTCGATGCCCGAATTACTGCGATCGAGCAACAGGTTGCGCAAGCCAAGAGGGGCAAGAATAAGGCGAAGCTGGCCGAAATGCAACGTACCCTTAACGAGGCCAATGATAATAGAGAGCTGTGCGGCAATCACATCAAGGACTTTTTCGACACCACCTTCATTCACAGATACCGAGACATCGACCCGCGTATCAGGACAGAGTGTGTCGAGTCCTTGGGATCTTGGATCATTGGTCTTTCCACAGTGTTCATGCAGCCCGAGTACCTCCGTTATCTCGGCTGGATGCTGTCAGACACCGTCGCCTCCACCCGACAAGAAGTTCTCAGACAATTGGCACGCATCTTTAGACGTGACGTGCAACAATTGGGTCACTTCATTGACCGGTTCCGTCCTCGTCTCATCGAAATCTCCACCAAGGACGCTGAGGTTTCCGTCCGTGTTGCTGCCATCTCTGTCATAAATGTACTACGGGATACCGGAATGCTCGAACCAGACGAAGTTGATTCAATCGGCAAACTCATCTTTGATAGCGACATAAGAATCAGAAAAGCGGTTGTCAACTTCTTCATCTCTTGCGTGGAAGATTCTATCGAAGGCAAGATGGAAGAGCTTGGTGGGCAGGATGCGCTTGAGGAGACATTTGGCGAAATCGACGAGGACGACTACGACTCGCCTCGCAGTACATGGGTCAACATCAAATGCCTAGCAGAGAACCTTGCGGCGTTTGATGCGCAAGTCGAGGGCGAGCAGCAGGACGAAAGCACAGGCCTTGCTACCGCCGCAGACGTCACCCAGGCGAACGTTCCAGACACGCGAATTTCTCTTGCCTCCCAAGTCCTTTTCGAAAAGGTCCCGTATGTGAAGCAATGGGAGCTGCTGGCGGGCTACCTGCTCTACGATCACACAGTCAGTTCCAGATCGAAATCCAAGGCGCATGGTGCTTCAACAGAGACTGCTTTCAAGAAGGCTGTTGGACCGCAGGGCACTGAGGAAGCTATCCTGCTCGAGGTTCTGGCATCCGCAGTAAAGATGTCGATGCTGCAATCAGCCGAGATTGACAAGAACAAGAAGAAGAGTGGACGCCCTGAGGTAACAGAGGCTCAGGAAGAGACCGCTTTGGAATTAGCGACAGTCATTCCTCAACTCCTCAACAAATTTGGCGCTGACCCTGCCACCGCTACGATTGTTCTCAGGATGGAGCACTTCCTCGACCTTGAGGTCTTCCAAACTTTACGGCAAGACTCGATCAAGTATGAAAAGTTGCTGGATGAGATCAGCACTCAATTCAACAGGCATGACGATAAGAGAGTCGTTGCTGAGGCCGCTGCAGCTCTTCTCCACTCTCGCCAGTACGATGAGCTTGAGGAGCTGACCGACGGAAAGCTTGCGGTTCTGTGGGAGAATGTCATCAACACACTGCGCAGCTTCGACAAGACCTGCGAGCTATCTATGCGCGGCAATCTAGCAGAGGATCATCTGAAGGCGCTTTCCACAGTGCTGATGAAGATCAGCGAGCTTGCTCGCATATCTGACTGCATGGAGGTCTTGGAAACGGAAGGGCGCGCAGTAGACTCAATGTCATCCACCATCGAGCTCCTGGTGAACATTGTTGGTCGAGGCACGTTTGATCAACAGACCGAAGACATTGACGACTTGGAGGATGAAGTTGTCTCCTTTGCCATTAAGGGGATTCAGTTTTACTTCATGTGGAAGGTGCGGAGCTTCCAGAAGTTCATTCAAAGCGAAACCGAAATACCCGACTCTGTGGTGGATCAGGTTTCTGTTTTGCGCAAGAGATACGACGTCGGTCTGATCAAAACTCTGTCATCCCGAGCTATCATCGACGATATCCGCATGTTTGCCACTGGCGCTCTTTGTGATATCCACGTGCTCCTCGGCTCGTTGAGGAACTGGACTGAAGAATCTCGCGGAAACGCAAACTACAAGAAGCTTGCGAGGCTGGCTCACGAGCTTGAGCCCAAACTTCTGCCGGAGCTGATCTCAATCTACGACGGTGTCGAGAAGAGCTTTGCGAAACGGACAAAGAAGATCCTTAATGAACCAGCCGAAGATGAAGAACCAATGGACGACGACGACTCTGATGAAGAGGAGGATGAAGATGAAGGCCTGACGCAAGAAGAGAAGCTGGCTCTGGAGCTCAAATCTGAAAAGGCCCTGTGTGAATTGGCGGCGAAATACGTTCTCGCTATCGCCCAGAAGGTCCTTGATCAGTCAGGTCCCCACGCGGGCAAGCTTCACAAGCGACTTCTACGAAATCAGAGCAGGCTCGGCAAGAACTTTAGCGAGGTGGTAGCGTACCTTGATCCCAAAAAGGTCCGGGATCACCTGTACGGCAAGAAGTTGCAGAAGTCCAAGGCGGCATCGACAAGGTCCGCTGCTGCAAAGCCCGCCATCAGCGAAGAGATCGTCGTCGACGATGATGACGAAGAGGAAGATGAAGAAGAAGCAGCCGAGGAGCCTGAGCCGGAAGAGGGCTCGAAAGAAGATCTGCGACGGCGGGAGCTACTCGAGGAGGAGGAAGAAGAAGAAGAGGAACCCGACGTGGAGGAGCCGCCTGCTACTAATGACGATGATGATGTACTGGGCGACTGAATCAAATTTTCTGACTGCGGGAGGATTTAAACCACGGCTTACATCTCTGACGTTCTTTTGCTCTGTTTATACAAGGATACTGGCTGCGAGCCCCCCTACCCTCCGCTCTTCTCCCGTGCGCTTGTCTATGTCTGGCTCGGTCTTCAACTGCGGGATGGCTAGAGGCAAGGAGGCTTGCTAGTGTCTCGTGGATCGCTCTTGCAAGTAGGGTTAATGCTGGGTAGTTTGACGGCGAACGGGAGCGCCTGTCTAGGATGGATGGCTTATTTGACTCGAGGCGTTAGAACGGGGATAAAAGACAACTGATTAGCTCTTGCACTAGCTGATACGACACGATTTCACTAGGGATACATCATTCTGTTACGAGTCCTTGTGCCTGCGACGGCCGCCGCTCTGGAAGTTTGTCATCAATCGTTGTGAATACATGTCCCGAAAACTCCTGTAAACTCCTGTTCCTGGCCACCTGACTAGTGGCTGCATATCTT